TTAAATGTATAGTAAGAGCAAATTTTGTGAGTTGTTGGCTTTGTGAAACGCTGTCTAATTATTGGTCCACTCTTATAAATTCGGCAGATGTGACACATGAAGTTATTCCTTTCTTTGTATATAGTGTCAGTTTGTCCCGGTGTGTTGCACTACCGACGTGTAAACTGCTCCGTCACTAGGCAGCAGATCAGCTGCTGAGATGAGTGCAGCACAGCACTGCGTCGATTATTTGTTTCAATAATCGATAGATTAATCAACTATCAAAATAGTCGTTAGTTGCAGCCCTAGCTGTAACTTGACTGTACATGATAAAATCTGTACCAAATTTTACATGTTTGATAAGAGTCCTGCCCTGAACACATGTACAGGATATGTATATATCCTGTATATGTGTTCAGGTGTGGGATGTATATATATGATACACAATATCCATCTATAGTCATAGCACCACCTGCTGGCAACAGGAAGTGACCTTCAACGAAGCTGTCCCTGCTGCACATTTTACCTACATGTACGAAATTTTTGTGGCACATGTGTCATCTCTTGGAGCCATTGCCTAAACCCAACACATAGTCAGGCATTTTGGATTTAATGGTCATTTTTGGATGATTTACACACTCACTACTTAAACAAACTCCTCCTAGAGAATTAGTCAGACCGACTTCAGATTTTTGCTGTCTAGTGTCATCCCACTGACGATTAAACGTTTTACAAACAGTGAGTTTTCATGGAATGGCGTGCCGATGGTGTGGTGTCCAAAATCGATCAGTGTACATGCTCATATCTGCACCAAACTTTACATGCTTGATAATGGTCCCTCCCCAAACACATCTACATGCCAGTATTCAATTATAGTGGTACTGCCACCTATTGGCAACAGGAAGTAAACTCTGTCTGACACTCATTGTGCAATTTAAATCTTTCACAATGTGTTCCACACTTATCGTGGTGAGAGCTTACATATAGATACTGGGTGCTCTGTAGCACAACATTCGGGACACAGACAGTGACATTTAAGTCCTCCGTGCAGCGTTTGAAAACTGTGGCAATTCAGAGTCGCACCGGCAGAGCTGCGGAATATACTGTGAGACCACCTCACACTCCGACGCTCTACACGTGCGAGCGCTTATCCAACAAAATTATTTTAAAATTGTTATTTTAAGATAAAATATTACATAATGTTGCTTTAAGTCCAACTAAGTTCTGAGGAAATGTAAGAAGTCATGTACAGCACCCAAGGTTTAATTAAAAATTTTGTGAGTGTTCCCATTATAACAGGATGAGAAGGATCTTATTGTAAAGCACAGGTTTTAGCATGAAAGTCTTCAACAGAATGGTAATAAAAGCTTAAATGAAATGACATGAAAGGTTCACATCGATATGCATTTCTTTTGTTGAAATGTAGCCTAAAAGCTGTGTGCTTTTTATAATGACTGTACTGAGCATACAGTACGGTGCTGAATGGCAGACTGAGAGGTAACGTGCTGGAGCCAGAGAGGGAAAGAAAATGAGGGTGGAGATTTTAGAGGTGTCAGAGCGGCTTGTCAAACTCCCTGCACGTACTATGAATATTTCAATACTGACACACAGCAGCTTCCTGGCTGCACCCCTAGAGACAGACAAAGACAAAGAAACAGAGATAAACAGATTCTGTAGATAGATGAGGTAGGTAGGTAGGTAGGTAGGTAGATAGATAGGTAGATAGATATACCAATTGATAGATAGACTGATGAATAGATAGATCACCCCACTCTAGCCCACCCCCCTCAACTCCATGGATACCTGTCTCAGGCTTCATCTCTGAGCCCTAAATTTCACAAGGCAGGTCTGACAGGAATAGCTCTATACAGCTGACAGCACTGCCTTCCAGCTCCAACAGGGGATGTCTGAGAGCTCACCCACACCACACTAGCAGGTAACACCCAGGACAGACCGACAGACACACAAACAAACTACATTCAAACTCAGAACACACCCACTCATGCAAATTACACTATGCATGAACAGTTGGAGAGCGAACACCAGGTAGGAAAACTGCGGATTTGGTGCAGTGGTAAGAAGGACAAATAAGATTAGGACTCTACCATGGCATCTAAACGAGGCTGTACTTAAGCACAGCAGTGCTTCAAGTTAAATGCTTACGTCAGAACGCTAACACGCTTACAATGATAACACCTTAGCTTAGCAAAAGTTTTGCTCGTACGCGTGCTCAAACTCATGAGCTAGCATAATCGGACACACAGAGCTTGAATTAAAACACAAAATCACAACATATTTCGCATGGTTTGGAGTAAAGTTAGTTTACCTGTCCAATGGGATGAAAGCCAACTCTGTCTGTTTTGTCGCTTCCAAGAAATAGTGGAGGTCTCTCCGTGACTCAAGCCTTTCTGATGTTTACTGTGTTTTCACCTGAAGTCAATATGATTCTCATTTTGCCTGACGAGCTCCAGCACAAACTTTGTTGGTTTGTATCCTTATGTGGAGTTTGTGTTGGAGTCTGTTTTGTGCTAGGAGCCGGTTGTTTTATGGTCTTAGCGGGACTCCGTGTGTTGTTGCTGTGTGTACAGTTCAGAATTAGAAGGCAAGAGGCCTTAAACAAGAGTCAGGAGTCTTCACATCTGGATTAGACATACTGGCCATCAGAGGTAACAGGTATCATTTTTACAACCCCTTTACACGCAGGCAAAAAAAATGATTCACTTCATTTAAACTACCTCTGTACCAAATTAAGTAGTTGTTGAGAAATTTCACTCAAAACCATAAATTCATTCTCCTGGTGGTGCCAGAGGAAAAGTCAAGAGATCGCCAAAGTAGGAAGGAAAAATCTTGAATGTACAACATTTGCCAATCCATCTGAGATATGCTAAGATATTTCCCTGGATAAGTGAGATAGTGATCTGCAGGTTGCAATAGATAAGAAAGTGGAATCACCAAATTAAATGTTTTGTTCAGTCCTCACACTGGAAGCGTTTCAGGAATGGAGCATTTAGCCTGCCCCACATTGTTGTCTTGTTGTTAATTGTCATTTTTGAGCTTCTACTACCGGGAAAAGCTCTCTGTGACCCGTTTTTTCCTGTCCACTGCACGGCTTCATACCCCACAGGGAGCATTTCAGAATCAGAGTGTTTTGCTCTCCTGATTTTGTTTTTCTGATAATTAGTCCTTGATTTTTTCCTCCTTCCACCGTAGTTAGCATTCTACATTGTTAAATTGTTTCTTTTATGGTCTGTTTTAATTTTGTGAATTGTTGAGTTACGATCGGGAGTCTCCACAGGGTGTTGCATTTTGAAAATTGACTGGATTTTCTATGCCGTTCCATGTCTGTCCGCCCGATTCATCTGCTATGTGCTGCTTGACGCGGCTTCAGTCGAAAATAGACTTGCTGTGTATTCTCTGTGTAGCGAGAGAGAATCATGTCTAGCACACTTTTGGGATACACTGCAGTGCTTGAGGAAACCAAAGCCAACAAAGTCAGTTGGCTTCATCCTTTTGGGACCATGGGTATCTGTCCCGAATTCATTCATAGCAATCCATTCAGTAGTTGTAGAGATATTTCAGTCTGGATCAAAATGGTGGACTGACATACCAACAGACCAATATTACTATCCCTTGAGCTTTGCCACTAGTCATCACCTATTCTTAAAAGTTTTTCTGGACAGCTTTGTAGAAGCTTGCCAAACAGTACTTGCCAATTCTGCTGGTACACTTAGACAAGATTACCCATCACAGAAAAACTACCACATTTGACTGGGAGCTTGTGTTAGTTTCCAGTTCAGCTAAAGGCTCATGCAGACTACACGATTTTCAGCGTCGGGCGATGGCCGTGCCGTTCACACTACACAACTTGCCTCTTGTGATGGGAGTCTTGAAGCCACTACGTGACTGATCGGTGACAGGGGGTCACACACTACACGAGCTGACAGTGGGTGTGTCACCCGAAGCTGGTCTCCAAACCACGTTTTGTCAAGAAAACACAAGTGAAACGGGAAATGGCGCAAACCTACACACAAAACAGCTGTTGTTTGTTATTATAAAGAAACCAATTATAAAGACAAAAAATCGGGGGGGGAAAGAATGGATTAGCACTTGCAGGTAGCAGGGATCGTCTGAGCTACAGAGAGAGCTGGAGGTGAGTAAAAACTGTTTTGCGGTGAAAAAGTAGTTGCCTGTTCTGTCAGCTGCCTGGTCTCATTGGCTGCATGTGGATGTCGAGTCCGCCGACTCTGCCAGATATTTGGCAGGTTAGATATCTGGCAGACGTCAGCGATGTGTCAGAAATGTGTCGAGGAGCCGTTGTAATATGCCATTGTGTAGTTCACACATAACGACTGCCGACTGCCAATTGACCACTGATTTACTGACTCGCCGAGCAGCAAATCAGGCTAAAAATCGTGTAGTGTGAACAGGCTTAAGATAAACACACACAATGTAAACCGGTCCATGCCACAACCTGCCTCTGCTCAGTGGACTACTGAGATAATAATACTCCAGTAATCAGAAAACTCCATTTCTCCAGGGAGAAGCAATCACAAAGCAAATATGGCACCTTTTTTTATCATTTCAAGCAGCATATTGGTGCAACAAAAAACTATTTTAGATTTGTCTTTTTACTTCTTCGAACTAATTACTTATTACAAAAGGATTTTTGCAGCAATGTCAACAAACACTAAACTTTTTTGAACGTGGTCCTCAAGGATCGACACAGTACAAAGTCCAACTATCCCCTTCAGAGGTGTACCCTGGATGTTCTTTTCACCTCCAACACATTTTGTACATACTGGAGCTATAAAATGCAAGCCAACATGATGCAGTTGACTGTCTGAGGCATGTTGCAATAAATAGATAGATAGTTTTATTTTGGCCGCTTCATGTTAAGAGCTATGTTATGATTTAAAGAATGTTGTACTGATCAATATGTACGCATCAGATGAGCTGAGGTTTACTTTGGCAGTGGAAGGAGAAGGGCCACTAAAGCGGTAAATCTGACCAGAAGCACTTACTTCCACTGCATATCCTATGGGCCATTATTGGTGGGTTTGCTCACACATCAAAGTGGCAGGGGTCTTCCAGGCTAAAAAGGAATAAGAAACAAAGGACCATTAAATCACTGTGTGAGACCATGCTTCGAGCAACACACACATGAACACGCAGACACACTTAAACACTGCAGTATAAGGGCTGTGAAGAGAGATTAGGACCCAAAGAGAAAGATGGAGAGAGGAGAGGGAGAGAAAAGGAGCGCGACATTGATTTTCCTCCTCTGAAGTGCCAGTTCATCATTCTGTGAGACACACTCTATCGATCCCCCGCCTTTAGTTTGTTTGTAATTTTGGGGGCTCAAAACCGTTCACAAAGATAGATCCTCTTATATGCCACTTGCCTCCGAGATGAAGAATGGAGGGATCAAAGGATGTGTGACCTCATTTTGCGAGGTGCGCCTCACTCAGTTGGTTTTTGTGGTCCTGTTTAAGAAGGGAGCTTTGGAGTGGACAAACGTGGGGGGAATCCAGTCAGCTGAATCATCCATAAGTTATTCTTTCTGCTTATATCCTATATTAGTAGCACAAAACATTATTTTTAAGTGTTAAGTTTATCTGCATTAGTAGATTTTAAGGTTACACAACGGGAGAGTTTTACAGAAAAATTCTCATCAATCTTCAGATCTTTTGCCTTTTTTCTTCGCTTCTACATCCTCTGGTATAGAGTAAACACAGACATGAGCATCTATATGAAGTTTATTAAAATCACATTACATAACTTCTGGACATAGAAGTTCAACCTTCAAGCAATTACCTCCTGCTGCCTTGGAGATGGAGCCAATGTGCTAAGTTGCCAAGTGCAGTTTTAACTAAAAACCTCTAATGCCCCTCAAAAAGCTCTTTACTGGATCGTTTCTTGTTACTTCCTATGGCTGAAAAGCTGTTACATTTGCCTTTTCAAGCAAATAATCTTATGTGTGGTGCAACAATATTTCAATAAGCATGCGATCATAAGTGGAGCTTTTGTAAAGGATGCAACTATGAAATCTTCAGAAAAAGCTTCCTCTGTGAAACAACTTCAACCTTTAGCCAGTAGAAAAGTCTTTGTTAGTTGGTTTTACAACCTAGTAGCTTTGGCCACCACTTATGACAGCATTTTGCTTACCACATTGCAGAATGGTGGGTCAAAAATGGGGTGTAACTGTAATATCTTGCCTTTGTTGTCTCTTCATGTGAGTCTGCTTGACCTTTTGGTCGGATTTTTAGCAATGTCACTGCATTCCCAGATCTAAGTAAGGAAGTTGGGGATAAATATACCAAGAAGAAAGAGTAATTGTTGTTAGGTGGGTCAACCATGTTTCAATGGGATAAATACTGTACTTCTCTTCTGTAACGTGCAGAAAAGGATTTCACTGCTAACATTATGTTAGTAGGAGCTTATTCATGGCAGGCCGTTTTCCACTGTGACCTGCATAGCTACCAGGAAAATTCTCAACCTGAGACACCACCCACATACAGCCTTACCTTAACATCTCATCTGCATTTTATCATGCCCCCTCCCCCTCATATTCAGAGCAACGGGAAGCTATCACCTCATAATACCTTCAGAGATACCAAGAGAATACATGAAGGTCATAGCACTATGGCATACAATACAACAACTCCAGGAAAACATCCTTTAACCAGGGTTGAACAGAACAAAACAAACAAACAGAAACACCCACTCACAAAAAAGTGTTCCAAAGCAAACCATTATTCTCACATCTTAATGTTCCCTATTCTTCATGCTCACTAGATTTTTGTAATTGATTGATCACTACGCCAACACAACCACCACTCTTACCCACTATAACAAGGCTGAAATGAGGGGAAAAAAACTAGCTAAAATATTAGGCAGTAGCTATTAACATCTGAAATTTATAATTTGCTTCAGTTGGTTAAAATTTTTTAAGCCACAATGCAAACACCTTAAAAATATTCTTTTTTGTGTATACACACACACACACACACACACACACACACACACACGTCTAACCAAACACTACAGCAGCTGAAATCATCCTGATCTACACACATTCAGCTAGATGACTAATCAATCATGGTGCGTAGTGATTGGTTGCAACATAAGCCTCCAGATTCTTGGGATTTCGTGGTATGTTTGAGAGCTACTGTTTAAACAGTAGAAAACAAATCCATCTGGTACTTCTATTTTTCAATATTTCCATTCTCTGTTCTGTTATCTAGATACAGCATGTAGGTTAAGACTGAGTCAACATATCCCCACAAACTATAAGCTACAATGTCAAAGCTGTTGTCTCTTTCATCGCCTCAGTCTCTGTCTACAGCAGCTTCCAAAGTCGCAAATACTCCTTGCAAATGGGCTCCCCAGAAAATTAAAATTATATACCCATAAAAAGATTATCTGTCAAACACAGAGGATAAGTGCCAATTGTACAGAGCCCTGAGATGCCATGTGGATATTGAGGCGAATAGTTCTGACAGTTCCAATATAATGAGCCTCCGTCCTCAACAGACACCCTTAACACTGGGTGGAGGTCATCCATGTGAACTTAGTACCGCATCCTCCAGATGCTCTTCCCATATTTTGCTGCCTACAGGCAGTCTATCTGGGGTACTTCTTCATTTCCTTACTCCCCACGTTTTTAAAATGTCATTTATGTCTAATGGCCGTGCTCATTAGCTGCATCTGAAAAACACACTCTGGTCATTACCAGCTACATTTGCAGTCAGGCTTCATGCCAAATTCTGTTGTTTGAGTCATCCGTCACAGCCCCGTTCCTTGGCAGTTGGCACCACAAATGACGCAAAGCGCAAATCTTCTAATTATCTGCAACTATCTTTATCTGCTTACATTGTTAGTGAATGTGTTTTGACAAGGCTACTTTATCAGTGTAGCGAGAAACCCAATCTGAAACAACATCCATCATGTTGTGGCTGCCAAGGCCACTTGGGGGACTACGCAGGCAGTAGTGGGCTAAGAATTGCACTTTACCTTGGTGCCGTCCTTGTTTATGAGCAAAGTGGGAGAAGGGAGGGTTGTGCACGACTGGGACTGCGATGGAGACAATAGCACTCATCTCTCTTTCATTATTTACTTGTACCACTGTCAGATATGGACAAATGTTACAAGAAAACTTTGGTATGCTGGGGGAAAATGTCCAAGGAATCCCCTTCAGAGTGAAAATATTTTTTCACTTTTGTCACTGTCAGGTCTTCTTGGAAAACAAGCACAGTTTGCTACTTCTAATACTGCAAAACAAATAACTGCTTTGGAATCACAGTGTCACACTTTTGCATATTCCTTTGGAGGAGCATTGTGTGGGAGTGCAACAGCCTGTCCAAGTAAGAAATAGAGGGAGAGTGGGTGGGGGAGCATGTTGGCTATCCTTTGTCAACTGCTCAGTGCCATTTAATGGCCTGTAAACCCCTTTGCTGAAGAAAGAACAGGCAATTAGCATACTGAGTGGATTACAAGATTGCTCTGACTCCTGGATTAATGTGTGCACTTAATCTTCTCTTTGCTAAGCGATTCTTGGATATACAGCTATTCAAGGGAGACAAATTTCCCCACCTTCCAAAACACAACATGCAAAAGGATTTCTTCCATGATGGCATTAAAACTGAGGTAAATTTACTTTATGTATTGTTAGGCTGAATTGTCCATGGTCAACACATGTTAAAATATGAAATATATATATATATAAAAATATTTTTATGACCCTTTTCACAAACAAACCAAAGCTTAGCAACCACTTTTTGTTGGGATGCTCTAAGCCACCACAGGACATGTTTGTACCCTAATTGACCAATCCTGTGCTTAGGTGGGGAACCTGGTGAGAGGTCAGACCGAAAAATAACCCTGCATTAAAACAATGCAGGTGGCTGTGTTGGTGGCAGCACAAAGTCCAGTTGGAGTAACAGATTAATGTGCTTGTAGGATTATCAGACACAAAACACTACACAATTGTATGTTTGTAACTACTTTATATTTCATTGTGACCACTAGGTAAACAGCAGAAATACACCATTCACGTTACAAAGTAATCTAGCAAGAATGTACACTTGCATGTATTTAATTGGCCAATGTAGCCCCTAGCCAGATTATGTGACGTTGCATCAAAAACTGAGCCTGGTTCAACTTTTTTTGCCAGATGACCTTGTGTTGGCTGGCTCCATTCAAATGAATGGGAGGGCTGCGTTTTTTCATGCAGGGCTAAAGTCAGTTTGAACACAGCCTAAGTGGCACAAGTGGCCACCAAGTGCCTCTCTGGTCTGTCTGAGTGCCTCCAAATGGTCTTTGTTTCAGCCCAAGATCCTGGAGCACACCCTGAATATGGTTGCCCCTCTGGTTCACTTAGGTGCTGTTCTGGCATGATCTTAGGGCTATACATACCAATGTGTACCAATGGGTGCTTTGGCAGACCATGAACTTACTTAGAATCGTCTATTTTGTGTCCTTGAACATAAAAGTCAAACATTTGCCAAGTCCCTGGTACACAACTATACTACACCATCCCCTTGATTGCAATCCTCTGTACTCTATATGATAAACTTTGGGCTGCACTCCATATTTCCACAAACTCAGGCTTCATTTGCTATCTCTGCCATCATTCCTGAATCACTATTCGCCGGCTTTGATATGATCTTTAATCCACGGGTCCCCACCTCACCCCTGAATCTTTCACCCAGAGTGTCAGCCCAGAAATGAAAAGAGCTGATAACTTTGCACTACTATTGCTCAGTGCCAAGGCACAGTGTCTTAAAACGACAACCTCAGCTTCATATAGCCCAGCCATTCAGTAACACATACAAAACACAGAGGTGTGGAAACACGAGGTGTGCGAAAATGTCAAAACCAGATATTCATTCATTCAATCAAATATTCACTGGAAAAACTGCCGAACACTTCCAAATACTGATGCTTACTTCTAATATCTTGCAAGTGGTACCCATATGCCAATGAACCATCATGCTGTAAACACTTCTTTTCAAAAAAAAAGGTTAGGACAGCTTGTTTGCCTCACAGAATTTGTGTGAAAATGGGCTCAGGAGCAATAACAGAATGCATCGC